GCCTTCCAATCAAGGCCCTTCCCCATCCTTGTGTCCGTCCTTTGGACACTCTCCAATGGCTCAATCCCTTCCTTATATTGTGGTGCCCAAAATTGCCACAGTGCTCAGGGTGTGCCCACAGGAGACACAAGCCAAAGACCAAAGCTCTTCTCCAGTCTCCTCCCTTGGGTCCCTATGGAGGGATTAGTGTGGCACATTGACATAACTGTGTTATTTATCCCTGCCTCTCATGTACATGAGTGTCTGACCCTCCACAGCAGGGTCAGTTTTAATGCTGGTAGATAGTTCTCATGGATTATGTTGAAGTGTAAAACTCTTCCTGGCCTTTCTGGGTAGCTGGTGCTGTTCTGACACATCACTAATTAAGCCAAGAGTGGTATTTATAGGCTTGACTGAACATAAAGTTACAGGGAGATCATCTGATAAATTAATATTTTGTATGTCACTCATCAGGATCTGCAGCTTCTTCCTGAGGGGCAGAGGAGGGACAACACTAACTCTGTGTGACCAGGGACAGCAGCCAGGGAATGGCTGGAGCTGTGTCAGGGCAGGCTCAGGTTGGATCTCAGGCAAAGGTTCTTCCCCCAGAGGCTGGTTGGGCACTGACCAGGCTCCCCAGGGCAGTGGGCACTGACCAGGCTCCCCAGGGCAGTGGGCACAGCCCCAAGGCTGCCAGAGCTCCAGGAGGGTTTGGACAACACTCTGAGGGACAGAGTGGGATTGTTGGGGTGTCTGTGCAGGGCCAGGAGTTGGACTGATGGTCCTTGTGGGTCCCTTGCAACTCAGAAGATCCTGTGCATCTGTAAGTGTAGTTTAAAAAACCTTTGAGGGTTCCTCCCTACTGGAAGGACAGACCTGGCAGAGTCCTCATACCACCCAACTCCTGACCACCAGTGAGTATGTGGGAGTTCAGAGAAAGGCACCCTGGATGGGCCATCCGTGAGTGCCACCAGCCTTTCCCAGGTCACCCTGAGGAGGTTAAGAATTGCTCATCACTGTGACAAAATGCAAGAGCTGGCAGTTCAATATAGGACAGTGCAATTATGTGCCCTAATTGGAATGAATTAATATTCAGAATGCCTGGTAGGTGCAGAGCTGAATGGCTTTCAAATGCAGGATCAAACTTTGATGGTGATTGTTCTGCCATGATTATGTGGAATATGGTTAAAAGAGAAACTTTCCTCCTTCAGGCTTTAGCTGTTCTTGACCTGGAAAGTGGCTGTGGAGGATCTTCCCTTTTGGAGGAACTTCCCCCCAATAGTCCTGCATTCCACCCTGGGCCTGAGGGGCTCAGCCTGCCCCCCTTTCCCCTGGGGGGCTCTGGGGAGGTGTTAGAAGGACATAGCAGGTTGATGTTCTCTGTTCCCAAAGACACTGGAAGGAATCGTTTGAAGGAATCATTTCCTTTTTAGCCATAGGATTTATTTTTGGTTAAGACTCCTGGATAAATGGACAGAGAAAAGCCTACATGGTATTAACAAGACTCTAAATGGAAGGAGCAATTCCTTTCATTATTGATAACAAAGTCATCTTGCCCAGAATAGCAAATGAGGCAAGATTGGCACTTTGAGATAAGGCCTTGATTATTGTCTGTGGAATTTATTACATTCTATTATTTCTCCAGATAAAACTTTAAACCATCTTTCTTAAATGCAGACAGTTGGTTACTCCTTCCACAGAACAATCATGTGTTATTTTATTAACTTTTCCATTCTTGTTTATTTTCCTATTTTATTTTAATTAATACAGCACAGAACATTCAAGGAGTCTGAAGCTCTTTAGCTGAACATTGGCCTCCAACAAACTGCTGGAAGAACTCAAAGTAATGAGTAAATTATTAAATAGCACTAAGCCAATTCATAATTCATCATTATTGAAATTTATACCAATGGTTGCTGGTGAGGAAGGAGATGGAAGAGGATGGTATTGGTCAGCCAGTTGGAAAAGTCCCTGCAGGACTGGGGAGATGGGAGGAGTGAGTGGACCCAGCAGGAGAACTGGAATGTGCTTTGGGATGACTGCAAATGCTCTGCTCCTGAAAGATTTAGAGGAAGGTGGACTTCACTGGGAGAGAAAAATGCAGGGTAGATAAAGTTACAGCTGCTGGAACAGAAACTAGAGGGAGTCAGGAACAGAGCTTATGGGGAGGAACTGGAATGAAGAGAGAATCCAGGGAAACCTGCAGAGCTGAGGAAAGGAAAAATGGGTGAAGAGAAGACACCCTAGGAAATCCTGGCAACTCCAACTTACGATACTTCAGAGAACATCAGGAAACTGGGAGCCAGTGGGGAAAGAGCTGACAGTGGTGGGGTGCAGAGCTGAGGGGCAGTGGCAGAGGGTTTGGGCTTTGGGGCAGGAAAGGGTGGAATGGGCAGCACTGATGGGCCAAATCCAGCTCCTTGTGCTGGTGTATGAACTATAAAGCCCCTGAACAAAACCTGTGAAGGTGGAGTCAGCAGTGCCCTGGCAGCCAGGAGGGACATCCCTGTCCTGGGGCATCAGGGAGGGGATTGTCCCGCTCTGCTCTGCCCTGGGGCGGCCTCACCTCAACATTGGGGCAGTTTGGGGGGACACAATGGAAGGAAGGGATTGAGCCATTGGAGAGTGTCCAAAGGAGGCAGCGAGGATGGGGAAGGGTCCCAAAGAGAAGCCTGAGGACACTTGGTGTGTTCAGCTGGAGCAGAGGAGACTGAGGTCAGACCTCCTCAGGGTCTGCAGCTTCTCACAAGGGGGGACCAGGGACAGCAGCCAGGGAATGGCTGGAGCTGTGTCAGGGCAGGCTCAGGTTGGATCTCAGGCAAAGCTTCTTCCCCCAGAGGCTGGTTGGGCACTGCCCAGGCTCCCCAGGGCAGTGGGCACAGCCCCAAGGCTGCCAGAGCTGCAGGAGGGTTTGGATGATGCTCTGGGGCACAGGGGGTGACTCTTGGGGCTGAGTCTGTGCAGGGCCAGGGGTTGGACTGGATGATCCTTGGGGGTCCCTTCCAGCTCGGGATATTCTATAATTCCATGAATGACAGCAGTCTATCCCCCCAAGTACCAGCTCCTTCCAATGTCACAGCAGGAAGGTTTTCCTGCCTAGGGGACAAACTGGGTTAGTGTTTGTCACAGGAACAGCTCCAGCTGCTCTTGTGCCTCCTTCATACCTTGCACAAGGCTTAGTTTGCACCAAACCCCACATGGACACAGCTGTCCAGGTGAACACCTCCTGGATGCTGTTCTCTAGATGACTTTAATGCCAATATCTCAATATTTGTGTCCCTCCCAGTGGTGGAACAGAACCATGGGATCCCTGGCATCCTTTCTGTCCATCAGATTGTCCTTCCTTGTTCACCCAGGCTGCATGAGGACACTTTCCGTATGGTGCCACTTCTGATATCCTTCCAGCCAGGATTTCCAAGAGAGTCAATTAAATTATTTTTATAAAAGTACATAAAGATCTCCCCTTAGCAAGTTTGGTTTCAATTAGCTGCTTAATAAAGTTTTTCTCTTGGACAAATCCCCTTTTTGCTCATCCTACACCTCTATGAAATTCTATGACCAACCCATTCAGCTCTTGATCCATTACAAAGACTTTTAGCACTTTCTGCAAATAATTAATCCAATTTGGATCAGAGGGATTATAGATGGTCTCAGTCCTCACTGGATAACACTTAATCCTTACTCAGCACTTCCAATTTTACCCAGTCTATGAGATACAGGAGGCAAATCAGGGCAGGTTCATAGTAAATGCTCATGTATCATGATTTAGGAGGAGAATGGCTGCTCTTGATGCAGAATTAGGGACAGTGAGAAATTCTGCTTCTTGCACGACATTTATTACAAAAAATTGTGCCCACCAAAGGAGCAAATGGTTGAATTATGTGTTCAGAGGCTGCAGAAAAAAAATAGGAAATAAGTAAAAAGAAGAAAGATGTGAACTTTAAGGAAAGCTTTATGGGTCACATTATCAAAAGTTACGTTTCAGAACAGCTGAATGGATGTTTCAGAGCTCTGATCCCAAACATGCACTTTAACTCTGAACTACTGCTTCTCTTAAATCATAACCTATTTAATAACATTTGTGTAACTTCTCTCTCCTGCTCCAGGGCCTGTGCAAACATCCCCAACACAGAGGAACTGTGCCAGGGGAGGCTTTGCTGGTTGGGCTCTGCTCTCACTCCCCTTTCCTCAGCAAGTCATTGCTCCCCAGTCCTTCCAGTGACTCCCATGAGCAAGTACTGGGGTCACTGGTCGGCCCTGCAGCTGCTGTGGTGCAGTGGGAGGAAAAGATTCCCTGGGGATTTTGTCACGAGGGAGCAGCCCAGATGAAACTGGGCTCCCTGGGCTCACTGGCTGGACTCACTGTGCTGCCTGAGCTCCTGGGGATATTGCCTGAGGAACTTGGTGGAGGAGGAGCAAATAGGTGAGTGAACAAGGTTCTCCACTGCCCTGCCCTTCCTCCTCCCCAGCTGAGCTCAGGGGAGCATCTTTCTCATGGATTTGCCCGGGAATTTCCTACAGTGGCAACTTTGGACATACAAGAGGCCTCCCAGTCCAGAAAAACTAAATCACAGGTCAACTTGCAGCACCTCCAAGCAAACCAGGTCCAAAAAGAGTTCATTCCAATCTTTGAGAAAGCCCTACAGTGCTCTGAGGAGTGGTTTGATCTGGGAGTCAGATGATTCCCCAGAAGGGTGCTCAGGCTGTCCACGGCAGTGGTGGAGTCCCCATCCCTGGAAGGGCTCAAAAAATGTGTGGATGTGGTAAATGGTGAACATGGTGGTGCTGGGTTGATGGTTGGACTCGATGATCTCACAGAGCTTTTCCAACCTTAACAATTCTGTGATTCCAAGGTATAACTGATAAAACACCTTATTCTTCCTAACACTCCCCCTGGAGTGAGGTGGGTGAAGCCCAGCCCTGGCTGTGTCCCTGCACCTCCCTGGGAACTGTCTCAGCTCCTGCCCTGCCAAGCTGAGAGTGTCACAAAACCATCCAAGGAAATAAAACCATGAAACCCATGAAACTTGGTTCATTTATTTCATTCTTCACTTCTGGAGAACTGAAGCTCTGCTCTGAATCAATTAGAACAAGCCCCAGGCAAATTTGAAGGTTGATTTAATGAGGGACCAGCTTTGTCTGCTTGGATCATTGCAGTTGATTGGGAGTGGATGGGAAGTTTGTTTCCAAAGCAGGAGCAAGGCAAATGTACCACTGGGGCTTCATCATTCCCTTTCCCTGACAAACAGAAGTGATCCATCCTGGATGTTATTTCCATTGCAGGGGAGAGGCTGCAAAGGTTTTGCAGTGCATAAGCACAGAGACAAACAGGGGAAGCTTCTGCCTGCACCAAACATCCATTTTTTGCTCCAGGAGTCTGGAAAAAAAGGACACACTCTTTTGACTGCTTTTCCATTCACACTTGGTGTGGGACATCTCTCATCACTGGTGTTAAAAACCATGGAAAACTTGTATATTCTTGCCCAAACTGTTCTGTTGTCCTTTCTAAAAATGTCGTATTAATTGCTCTACATCCTCCAATTATTCAGGATGATCCATATTGATAAGGCAGTTCCCAAACAGCCCATTGCCAAGTGCCAACAGGGATCCGAGTGTGGCTGCCCAGGGGACAAATGAACCAGATGGCAGCACCTTCTGCACTGCCAGGATGGCGGAAAGGAGACCTGTCAGATGGCAAATGGGTCACTGATGGGAGCCCCTTCCAAGCTCATGGTGCCTCAGCCTGGCTGAAAATGTTGGAGGACAAATGAAGTTGTGGCTGTGGAGGAGCCACCAAAGGCCCATCACCTCACTCGGCCCTTCATGACACAGCACATTTTATTCCCACATTTCCTCTGAGCCCTCCCCAGCCATAAATCATGCAGCACATTTGTAGCACCATATTCCTGGAGTCCATCCTGAATTAATGTGTGCTGGCACCAACAGCGTGTTCACAACATTATTAAACTACTCCAGCAGGGTCTGGGATGTCAGGACAGCCCAGAGCAGACTCAACTGAGCAAAACGTCCTCATTGCAAGGTCGAGTCACATCCACCTCTGGAAATTAAAACACTCCAAGGCTTCAGTGTCTGAGTTACTCAATTAACCAAACCCAAAGCCTTCAAATATGTTGGTGTAAAATAACCACCAACCAAGTCACAAGGCTCCCCCAGCAGAGGACTTTGCATAAAACATTCCCTGTCTGCTTTTTGCCATTTCCACAGAGCTTTATTCCTGTCAACAGGCTTTAACTTGACCAAAAAGGGGTGTATTTTTCCATGGATTCTGCAGTGTCCGCTAGAGACCAGAATTACCCCTTTGCAAATAACTGGTTTGGGCTGAAAATCAGAAGGGGTGTAGAGATGTTCAAAGGAAAGCTGTAATTTTCATCTTTTTAGCCATGAGAAAGCAAAATATTCAGCCTGAGAAAAGGGTGAATGATATTTTTATGTAAGAAGAAACAGGAAAATTGCAAGGAATTTAAAGAAAAGGTTTTAGAACAAGAGTTAAGCACCTTAACCTGTATCTGTGCCTAGAATCAGGATGAAAATAACTTTTTATTTTCCTGTGCTTCTAGAAGAATATTCTTTTGACACATTTTTCCAGTGGGAAATGGCTTTGCAACTAGTAGTAAAGCATAAGAATGTCTCATTTTCTTCCATTTGCTTTTTCTTTCTTTTACCTTTAAGAACTGTGTTTTTTAAGGTGGGGTGGGGAGCAGAATAAAAATCCCTCAGTTTTTGAATAGCTGAACCATTACTTTAAATAATATATACAGAAACCACATTTCTGATGAAAATTAATATGTCAATAAATTCAGCCCAGCCCGACAGAGCAAATTCAGGCTGTTTTCATGGTAATCTTGGTACTTTTTGCTTTTCCTTTTTCAGCTTGTAGCCTTTTGCCAGGACTTGGCTGATACACACTGACCCCCCTCCAAGGTGGGAGAAGCAGCAGCTCCTCCCAAGGTCCTCCCAACCTGCCTGGAGCTGGTGTGGAGCACTGGAAAAAGGTGCTGGAGGCAAATCTGAAAGGGCAGAGTGGCAGGAGACAAAGGTATTTACAGCCCCTTTTTACTCTAATTCTGCCTCATTTTGTCTGTGGTTTCAGATGTTTTTCCCATTTTGTAGTTCTGTGGAACCCACCTTTATTTCTAAACTCCCTCATTCCTCTCAGGGGGTGCCTTTGATAGGAAGAGGTGAATAAGAAACTTTCCCCATGCAAGAAAAGCCAGCAGGTCTGCTCTGGATGTTCGTCAGGACTTTCCTTCACCTTCTGCACCCCAGCCAAGTTGTCCTGCTGGGAAATCCTCCACTGACCTCCCTGGGGAGCTGCTCCAACCCCACTGTCACCCCACACCCCACTGGAAATGTGGAAGAGGTTTGGAAGGACCGTGACTGAAGTGTTCTGACCAGGAGACCTTATTTTCTACCTTCCAGAAGAGGAGCAGGTTCTGAATGTTTCTGCAGGATACCTGTGTGGATCTGCTGGGGGTGGGGTAACCCTGCTGGCCCATTTTTTGTCCTGCTCCCACCCAAGGGCCATTTCTGTTCCCTGCACATCTCAGCACCTCCCAGTTCCTGTGTGCAGGGCACTTCACAGCACTCACCACATCAGACATCCCAAGACATCCCATCCTTATTCCCAACCCTGTCAGTCACCAGTGACTGCCTCCGGAGGTCTAAGCCAAGAGGTTGGGGATTCCTGGTGAGAACTGTGTCAGGCAGAAGCCCAGAATTGAATCTGCCTGATGGTCTGTGGCTCCTCTACCCTACTTTTTTGGCACTTGGAAAAGCAAGAAGTGTTGGTGAGGAAGTGCAGGGATGTTTCTGGCTGACTCAGAAGAAAAACTTTTCCTGTGTCTTGGATGGAAGAAGGAAACCAGGGAGTCCATCAGTCCCTCTTGCTCTCAGTCCCTGATTGTCCCTGGGAGCCCCTCCAGCTTTTACTCTCCAACCCCTGCAACCTGGCACCCCCAGATCCCTGGCATGACCATTCCCTTACTCCTGCACATCACGTGGCACTGCCCAGGGCAGTGGTGGAGTCACCATCCCTGGAAGTGTTCAAAAAACATGTGAATGTTTGGGGACGTGGGTTAACGGTGGCATTGGCAGTGCTGGGGAATGTTGGACTTGATGATCTCAGAGGTCCTTTCCAAGCCGGCTGATTCTATGATTCTGTGATCTCAGAGGGTTTTCCCAACCTTATGGATTCCATTATTCTATAATTCTAGGACCGCTCTTCCACCCACCACTTAAAACTCTCTGCCTAACTGTGCCACCACTCTCACCTCTACAGGACTCCTGAGGTGTCCTGTGCAGGGCCAGGACTCAATGACCCTTGTGGGTCCTTCCAACTCAGCATGTTCTGGGATTCTGGGACCGCTCTCACATGTATCTGAACTGGTTCTGCCCTGCTCTGTCCCCTCTCACCACACCTGAGCAGTCTTTGCAACTCCCTCCCTGCCCAGTGGCTCCTGTAGATATATGACCACGTTGTACAGACCCATGGAATCCCAGAATGGTTTGGAAGGGACCTTAAAGCCCATCCAGTGCCACCCCTGCCATGGGCAGGGACACCTTCCACCAGCCCAGGTTGCTCCAAGCCCCGTCCAACCTGACCTTGGACACTTCCAGGGATCCAGGGGCAGCCACAGCTTCTCTGGGCAACCTGTGCCAGGGCCTCCCCACCCTCACAGGGCACAATTTCTTCCCAATATCTAAACTAAATTTACCCTCCTTCAGCTTAAACCCATTGCCCATGTCCCGTGTGTGCCTGTGCATCTCCCCACACCGACCACTGACATTTGCTCAACATGAGACTCCATTTCCCTGTGCGACACTTTGTTTGTCAAGGCAAGAAACCAGAAGATAAAGACTTTCCAGCAACAGCCTGGATTTCTTCTGAGGTTTCCTCTGGAGCAAGTTTTCCCTCCCTCCCTCCGTGCAACATCCAGTCAATATTTGAGTTGATAATAAAAATCTATTTTCTTTTCAGCTTCCCTGACTCTGCTCCGCTCAAGAACAACATGTGCCTTGTGTTTCCTTAGCTTTGCTTATCAGATCTCCAGCCAAAATGAATGGCCAAATCTCTTACAAACAGAGAAATTAAATGAAAACAACACCAGTGCCAAGTTCTTTGCAAACAGAGAAGTGAAATGAAAAATGCCAGTCGCTGTAGATTCACCCAGCACGTTGAATTATTATCTGTCATGGCCTGTTCTTACATTTGTCCTTTCCCTAGGGTTGATAAATAAGACTTCCCACAAGTTCTGAAGCTGTATCAGGAGTTGAGTAGCAGATACTGTTAATAAATCTTGGGGGTTATCTCTCTGCCTTGCCTGGCAGCCCAATAGCTCAAAAGTCTCGCAGTTTCTAATGTCTTGCTTTTTTTAACACACAACTTTGAAATCCCTCTTTCCTCCTCCACAGGCCCAAAGGCCAGGCAGGTGCAGCTGTGGCTGCAAGTCCTGATTTTCAAGGGAAGACCTTTGGGCTGATGCACTGCTGTCATTGTCCTGATTTTGTGCCTTCCTGTGGATAACTGGGGCTGTTGTGGTGTTGGTGTTTCATGGTTGGGCAGGGTTTGGTACAACAGACAAAGCTGTGTCAGCAGATGGGCTCACTGCTGCCAAAACACCCCAAAATCCAGTCTCTCATGAAGGCCAGGCTTTGGAAGCCCCATTTCTGGCCTGCTCTTCGAAGGTAGAAGAGAATCCTCCAGCCAGAGGGGAGGTGGGTCCCATGGATTACCCCGTTGAAGGGGCCTGAGGTGATGAAATCGGACTCAGACCATTAATTTATAGACACTTGAGGTGAAATGAAATCCAGACATGGGACAAAGGAAAAAAAAAAAGAAAAATACAGTCTAAATCAGGTTTATTAAGATTCCTCTTAGGCCACTTCCAGTCTTTTGCTTGGAAGCAGAGTCCTGTAGGACACGGCTCAGGGCCCAGGCCTGGAGGTGAAGAGCACCTTTGTTCAGCAGTGTCCAGTCCGTCATCCCCTCCCTTCCCCTGCCATTCCCCCTCAGCCTGGCTCTGCTCCTCTGCCCAATTCCCACGGGAGTAAGGAAGGCTCTGCCTGGACGTTCCCCAGGTCCTGATGGTGCTCATGGAGCGATGTGTCCCAGCTGTCCCATGGCTGGGGTTGTTTCCAGACCTTCTGCTGCTCTGCTGGGCACCCACTGCCCAATCCTGCCCTACACTTGGTGTGCAACTTGCCAGATCCCTTCTCTGTCACATCTCTGTGTCCCAGTGTTCCCTGGGAGCACTGACCACCTTCTGCTCAAGGTTGACTTTTCCCAAGACGTCTTGGGTGACAGCACATCATGTTTTGTGGCCTCCTTGTGGAAAAATTGTTTTATGCACAGATTCAGTTTTTAAAACTGTGCTTGAACTAATTCATATTTCTCTCATTGTGCTGGTGTTGTGGGAATCATAGAATTATCACAGGATCATGGAATGCTTTGGGTTGGAAGGGACCTTAAACCTCATCTCTTTCCACCCCTGCCATGGGCAGGGACACCTTCCACCAGCCCAGGTTGCTCCAAGCCCCTGTCCAACCTGGCCTTGGACATTTCCAGGGATCCAGGGGCAGCCACAGCTGCTCTGGTCCTGTTCCAGTGATGGTCTGGCTGGTTCCTCAGCCCAGGGGGTGAGGGAGCAGCCATCAGTGTGACAGCAGAGCTGAGTAGGGCATGGTTGGCAGGTGCCTTCTGCAAACTGGATCTGCTGAACTTGCTCAGAAAATCTCTTCCCCCAGAAGCCCCAATACCTGTCCTGCTGTGTCTGTGTCAGCTGGAAAAGAAGTGGCATCAAGCAGAATGGGCATTTTTCTTCCTTTTGTAATGTTTTTTGCAATATCCTCTGTGGGCTCAGATGTCTGCAGGGAGGATTTGTCTGTGAGTGTCTCCTGTGCTGTGCCAGGCTGTGCCTCTGTCACAGTCCTGCCCTGGAGGACAAAGAGGACACTGAGGACACTTGTCCTCTCTTGCCATGGTGGGATTTGTTTCCCAGGGCAGTTCAGCTCTCTGGGCAGCCAGAAATATTTACCTGGAGTTAGATTACCTTCTCTAAACCACTTTTACATTCAAGGTGAAATTACATGCCCGACAATTCTCTTTAAATAAGGAAATTTTCCACTTCCAAAGCTACATGTGGATGCCAGAGTTATGCACTCCAACCTAACTATTTATTCCCCTATTTCTGCTTTTTTTTTTGTTTTGAATTGAAAGTAGTATCCATCTCCTGTCTCCTCCTTGCTGGAGCTACATTGTTCATCAGACATTTATTAGCTTGTCTAGAGGCTTTGCTATTATTCCTCTCAGAGTTTTCTCACTTCCTCTACTTTTTGTTCCCTGACAAAATAACAAAAGCCTTACTTTCGCTGTCTCATTTTTATCCCTTCTCAGCTCTTCCTTATCACACTCTTTTCTTGTTTCTATTATCAACAGGCTTTGGCAAGGCCTTCTGTCTGCAAACTCTGAGTCTGTCTGCACACCATGTCTGGGGCTTTCCAGGTGCAATTTCATTTTCTTCTCATTTCTTAACGCTGGACTCTGGTGCCCGCATCCATGTGCTGCTGCTGCTGCTCCTGCTGCTCCCTAAGTTTATGAACAGTCTCCATATTTCAAATACTGGATCTGTGCATTAAGCACAATGGTCCCGTTCAGTGAACAGCCCAGCTCTGGGGAAACCTGCGTGCTGAGGTTATTTGCTCTTTTCCTTCAGCTACATTTATTTTAGAATCATTGAATCTGTTGAGTTGGAAGGGACCCCCAAGGATCATCCAGTCCAACCCCTGGCCCTGCACAGGCCCAGTCCCAAGAGTCACCCCCTGTGCCCCAGAGCATCATCCAAACCCTCCTGGAGCTCTGGCAGCCTTGGGGCTGTGCCCACTGCCCTGGGGAGCCTGGGCAGTGCCCAACCAGCCTCTGGGGGAAGAAGCTTTGCCTGAGATCCAACCTGAGCCTGCCCTGGCACAGCTCCAGCCACTCCCTGGCTGCTGTTCCTGCTCACACAGAGCTGGGGTCGGAGCTGCCCCTCAGGAGGGAGCTGCAGTCCCTGGTGAGCTCTGACCTCAGTTTCCTCTTCTCCAAATGAACAAACCAAGTGTCCTCAGCTTCAGTTTTCCCTCCAGACCCTTCTCCATCTCCTTGCCCCTCTTTGATCACTCTCATAGCTTTATATCTTTCTTGATCTGTGGTGCCCCAACCCTTTCACCTTCCTGCTGTGGGCATTGCTGTCAGCAGGGAGAAAGCTGCAGGACTGTACCTGATCTCCACACTGCAGAAACCAGCCCTCCCTGCCTCCAGGAGCAGCCCGGGGGGGGGGCAGGACAGGCCAACAATTGGGATTCTTTCCCCTGTGCCTGCCACTCCAGGTGTCCCTG